AGGGCTGGCTCTTCAAGTGGACCAACTACCTGAAGGGCTACCAGCGCCGCTGGTTCGTGCTCAGCAACGGCCTCCTCAGCTACTACAGGTACCGGCGCCGGGAGCCGCCCGCCCGGTAGCCGCCGGGAGCGGAGAGCGCGGCGGGAAGGCGGGAAGGAGCGAGGGAAGGAGAGGAGAGGAGAGGCGAGGCGGCGGGCCGGGCCCTGCGCGCAGTCCATCGTGCCCGCCTAAACTCAGCGCTGCTGGGGTTTACTGTTCCACCGCCTATATACGTATATACACGGTGTGTGTCCGTGCCTTAGGATGGACCGGGCTTGTTCTCGTCTCTCAATTCCTTTCTGCTCTCCCGCCGTCTCCTGCCTGGCGTTAGTTCGTTCCGGGCACTGGAAGGGATCCCTGGTGCTAAAGGCGGCTAGAGCTCCCCAAAATACCTGTCCTCGGAGCRGGGGCCGCGCGGGCTGCGGCCTGCTCTCTCGAGCGCAGGGCGGCTGTCGTTCCCCTGCCACCCCGGAGTGCAGAGCTGCGAGGCGCCGACGGCCACGCGGAAAAAACAGGAATCCGGATGGATTTCCAGAAATCTGAAATTCTGGTAGGTTTAGGGGGTTCGCGTTTGGGCAGGTCAGAAGTTTTAGCAGTGTTTTCTCCTGGAGTTTTTTTCCCCCAAAAACTAAAAAGCCCAAGCCCCAGACCAAGCAAATGCTCTGTAACAAGCCCCCCMCACACCCAGAATCTCTTTGCTTTTCAGTAATTCAGTTAACTTATTTTTAATTTGATACTGTTCTGTTCTTTATGCCTGCGCTTGGAGAACTGGGCAGCTTTAAACACTCGCAGGAATTGAGCGCTCCGCTGGTAGCCTCGTGGGAATGCTGCTGCTCGTCCCTGCTGTCCGAAGGGCCCCAGGAAGAGGCTTTTGAGCGACGTGTGACAGAGCTGAGCTGGAAGGGCGCAGCGTGGGGCTTGCGGCCAGCTGGGCTGCGCAGCRGCCGCTCGGCTGAAGTGCTGCTCGTGCCTTGCCCTGCCTTTCTGGTAGGGCCAAACCACTGCTAAATCTGCTCTGTCGAACTCGAGAGCTGAGTTAATTCAGCTGTGAGTCATGAGCGCAGAAATGTAGCACAGATCACATGGGAGAATGCKCTTTTTTCCTCTCTTTTTATTAAATGCGTGGGGGGAAAAAAAAATGATAGTCTTCAGAATGATCCCTCTATTATAGAGGCCTGCCTGGCCATTGAGTGCCAGCTAGGATTGATTACGGCAGGGAACTCTGTGGAGATAAACCTGGCTAAATTGCTATTTTTTCCAGTGTGATTTCTGGCTGGTAGGAGCAAAGAAGCCCCATCTGCATCTTCTGTGTGAGGAAAMCGATACAAAACACGTGATTTCTGTATGTTTGACTTTCATACAGTTTGACTGTAAAAATCAGGTTCTGTAAAAGTCTGATATTCTGTGATCTGCATGGCTCATTTTTGGCTGGTTCTTTGTGCTCTCCCCAGCTCTAAAGATGCGTTGTCTCTTTCAGTATTTGCTACAAAMGGTTGTAGAGGACGATTTGTGCCCTTGATAAGTCGCTGCGCTCGCCTCAGTGGCTCTGGACACCTTTGTAATTTGAATTTAGAGGATTATCCTGCTGCACAGTCTGGATGACTTGCGTCCTTTTAGCTGCTGACTATTCAGGGCTAGCGAGAAGGCGGCAATAAAAACTTCAATTTGCTYGTGCTTAATTGAAAAATTTCACCGTGATGCTTAAGGGCCTCCTTGAGTGAATTGATGCAGTTTGAGATTGAAGCTTTTCATTTGAGTTTCCTTCTGCCTGCTGTTTAGGTTACGCCTAGAACAGAACCTATGAAGTTGTCTGCCGGGGATTCCCGCAAGGATTTTTATTTGTAGAGTTAAACGCTGAAATTCCGTAGACCTATTGGGAAGTCCTGTTGTAATGGAGCGTAGGTGGGTGTCGCTCCATATGGCAGGAATTACTTGTTGAAGGGTTTTCGTGCAGCCAGGTGGAACTCTCGTTTTCTCCCTGTCCCAGAGAAACAGTTTTCTGAAATGAAACTTCTAGTTAGAATCTTCCTTCCAAGTTCAYGTGACTGTTCAAAGCCTCTCGTATCTCGGCTGACGCTGTGGAGACTCGCGTACCACCTGGGCAGCTTCGTGCAGGRTGCAGCTCGTGCTGCACGTTCTGCACTCTGACTTATGCCAGATGATAACAGCTCGATAGTTCTGAAAGATGTTGTGGGAAAAACTCTCCTTYATAGCTCTGGTTAGAATAAGTTGCTCTTCGGAAGTTACACAGCAAAATAGTTGCCCAGGAAGAGGTCCTAGGTCTTTTGAGGGACCTCCTCCCTTCCAGGCACTAAAATACTGTGCCTTTCTTGACCACAGAAATAAAATGGGGGATCTGGCATCCCTTTTATCCATGTTGGGCCTTTCACGTTGGTGCGCTTGCAGGTTGGTGTCTGAAAGTGCTTGAGAGCTTGAAAATGCAACTGGAAAAGGGCTGGGTCGCCCCCTGAGCAAGGGAGAGCRCACGGATGGCCTTCCCATCCGTCCGTTCCCGTGGGCTGCCGTAGCTGCCATCTCGTTGCACGGCGGTGTTTGGAGGACCCSGGCTGCTCCTCAGCCTCTCTCCTTGAAGCTACGGAGTCTCTCCTGCAGGATGTCCGTGACTCTCATTGCTTGCGAATGTCGTGTGGTTTTGGGGTTGAATAGGCCCTTTTTTTTTTCTGTATTTCTGATTGCCCTTGACCATCCCCGTTAGTGTCTTTTTCCGAGCTGGCTGTCTGACTTGGGCATCTAGAGCAGAAAGCTAGTCCATTTGGCTTGGCGATGATCAGAAGTCTTCCTCCGAACTGCGCTGGCAGGATTCCACGTACGGTTTTATCATTGCTTGTGATTAGAGTGTGTGTAAGGGAGGATCTAATCACCTCGAGGAGATAAGCGTGCCCAAGGAGATTAGAGGGGATCTTCAGATAAGTATTAGTTTATCAAAGGTTGCTTTTGGCTCTTCTGGTCACTATTCCCAGTGAGTGTTGTCTGCTCCAAGCAATTCTCTCATATTTCAAATAGCTACAAATAGGATTGGTGTCCAAGTGAGATACTTTAGATAACTGTTTATAACCTCTAGCATAAGCTCTTGATCAGTATTTTAAGGTCTTTCATAGCAAGGAGACACCCAGTACAACCTGGTGTTTTCTCCTGCTGCTTTGCTAGGTGTTTGGTTGAAAGCTGAGGCAGTGGATTCAGGTAGGAGTTGGAAAATTGCTGCTTTTAGAACAACGGCTTCTTGAGATCAGAAGGGACCTCTTAAATCTCTGGTCCCAACCTCCTGCTCAACATGGGATCCTGAGATGAGGTTGATCAGGGCCTTGCGTTGTTGAGGTTTGAATGCCGGCGAGACAGGAGGTTGCACAGCCTTCTTGGGCCTTGTTCCAGTGTTTGACCACCTTTGTGATGAAAAAAACATTTTCTTATATCTAGTTGACACAAATCAGTAAAGCAATCAGTCATATTAATCAAAAACAAAGGAGTGAATTTATAGGGGTGCCTCGGAGGAAACCCGGCCACGCTGGGGAAGCGGCTTGGCCATCGCCGTGAGGGAACTGGGCCCGCGTGACTCACCCCAGCAACCATACTGGGAGCCCTGGGCAGTGGGAGAGCATCAACCAGACATCCAACTTCCACTGGTTCTCCTCAGCACAGCCCGGCTGTTAGCATGGCTGCACTCAAACTGCTTGCTGCTCAGCAGAGCTACCTTGGGTTGACTCTGTTGTGCAGCGGTTCACCTCTGCTGCCCAATACTGTACGAATAACATGATTTTTCTTTTAACGGGATTTTTCTACCTGTCCCTTCGGTTGTCATGTTCTTCCCAGTTCTGCTAGGTGTTTGCAACCAGACAGACTTGGGGACTCTCCTGTTGCTTTTTTTCCCCCATGTATTTTCTCCAGGATGATATACTGAACCAAATGCTTCCTTTGGTGAAGGCGGAGGAGAAATGACGGGTTTATCTTTGCTAGCACTAAACCGAGATGACCCTCAGTGCACAGTGCCCTTGGTGCAGCTCGGCTTGCAGCCCCTGCTGCCATCTCCATGTCGGATGCCCTGTGAACTTCCCGGTAATGCCCCTCACTTTGCAGCTTAGTTCCTGGGTGTGTTTGCAAGCACAGAGCTCGTTTACGGGCACAGCTGTGCAGGTGCTCGCGAGAGAATGAGAGGCCTCTTTCGTATTTCTAGTCTTAACTGTTTTATCTTTCATGCTGGGGATAAAGCCTCATAATAGTCACGCCTTTCCTATATCCTTATTCCCTCAGTTTTCCTCTGCAAAGGCAGGAGAAGGTCATTTTTCAGGCTTTTGTTCCTACTTTATGTTGCTGGGAGCTGCTTTTCAGCTCTGCCTGCTGCAGCTGGTGGCTGAGGGCTCGTGTGGCCTGGCCCCCGCTTCGCGATAGCGGTGGCTTTGTTTACAGCTGAGAATTGTCAGTGCTCTTCTGTTTTCGTCTTCAGCTCGGATCTTCCCTGCTCTTTTCCCCAAAAGCAGCGGTGGAAAAGCTCCGTGGGTCTGTGCTCCCGGACCTGTGCTGTKCCCGTCCCGGGAGGCCTCGGTGCTCTCCTGCTCCCGGTGCCCAGCTGCCGTTTGCCTGTGGGTTCTGCCCGGGCTCCAGGTATTTGCTTCCCATCTCCCGCCYGAGCTGCAGACTTAGATTTCTGCTCACTCAGTCCATCATCCTCAGTGCATCAGTGCTGAAGGAGCTGAGCATCTCCTGCCGGGAGTAATGCTGGAAACTTGCACAGAGCTCCCTTGTTTATATTGTTTTCCTTATAACATTCTTCTTAACCCAATTTACTTCTGAAGAGGAATTTTTGATGAATGAAACATGAAGTCTTTAAAATGCCCTAAACTGTTTCTGAATGATGTGGACTTCCATGACCTCTAGGTTGATTTTTATACTGTAGCAAGGAAAACTATTGAACGTATTTTCAGTGTTGCGCTGTGCGTGCAGATAAGTTACCTAGCTACGGTGTAATTTATCCGGGTGAGTTTAGATAAGCTGGGGATGAAATGACACTGAGAGCCTTTGCTTTTCATAGATCTC